TCCCCACATTGGAGTATCCCAAGTCCACTTTCACATCTAATGTGTGGTCAGAAAAGAAAATTTTGTATTCTATTGAATTTGTAACCCCCAAGAGAATATTGGTTGGGAACGTAGATATAGATGTACATCCCAAATCAAATAAATTGTGAAAAACAAGAACAAATTATAAATATAAGAAAGTAGCACGGTACCGAATATTTGTTGAATCGTCATTGAATTATACTATGATGAAAAATATGGACTTTATGGCGTCTCCAATTTACAATTTAGATGACAAATAAAATTAGTTCCCATCTTACGGTAATTGGAGTAAAATAGTAATTATATTTGATTATCCTGAAATCAGTCTGCCCTCAATTATGAGATGGATAAAATTATTTTTACTTATTTAAATCACGTGAATTTTTTTCAGTTTGACATGCTATGTTGTTCTGCTATATTTTCGATTTGGCCTCTATTTGTCATCTTGGATTATAAGAGTGAAGAAAGTTTTCAATGTAGGTCGATGTTTCGCAGTACTGCCCATATGAAGGTACTTCCTGATTTTACCTTATTTCAAAGGATTTGGCTAAAAATGTGTATTTGGGGGGTGAAAATCGTACACAAAAATTTCAACATATCTACAAATTTTAGAATTTTCTCCATGTAATAGTACCCCCACAAGTCCACCTTTTGGCGGACTTATGAGAACTCTTATGCACAATCTGAGGTGTTAATGGGTTTAAAAAAGTAATTAACTTTGGCTATTCTTAAATCATTCAGCCCTCAATTATTATTGCAAATTACTGCTCATTTGACTAAAAACTAAAAATTAATCGACCAGTACATAAACACTTATAACAGTCATATCTTTGAATAATTATGCTTTGACAAATATGCATAATAGACTAAAACTACTGGCCGGCAACGCGGACAGGGTCAGCTAGTCTTTTATGAAACTACAAAAAAATATTAATTTTATGTAATTACATAGATACATAATTATCTAACGTACATTAAGACTTTGGCCAACTTTGAGAGAAATTCTAACTGCAACAATTTGAATAATAAGCATCTGAGTAAATGTATCTTAAAATGAAAAACATAATTAACATGAAAATGCCATAAAACACAAGCAGTGGTAAAATGTTGCGATTTCAAGCCTCCCATTAGTCTTTACAAAGTGCATAATTTCCACAAAGTATCTGCATCAATAAAACGTTTTCAGAGACAAGAGAAAAAGAAACTAATGCCAGCAGCTTCTCTTTCCTGAAACCATTATTTTCTATTACAGAGGAAACAAAGTTAAAATTTCATTTAAATTTATGATTGCACATTCCACGAAGGTTCATTTAAATGAGCACTGAGGCACATAACAACAAATTGAGAAGATGAATTTCAGTGCTCTTGAAGTTAAACAGCATTTCAAGATTGGTTTCCATGCCACAAGAAAAATTCGTGTTCATTGTTTTAATGGAATTACCTCTAATATTAAGCCTTTTCGAAATTGCTTGGGAAATGAGAACACAATAAACACATCTACCATTCGGCATAAATTTCAATAAGAGAAACTGAGAAATAAGGTAGGACACAAAATTCAATCAGGCTTAACTTAAAGAAGTAAAATGCGGGCCGAACCTTTAATGCCATCCACCATGAAGTTAAACTTTTAAAAATACAAATATCGGGATTGAATACTGGGTTCCCCTTTCTAACACAGTACCATATATATATATATATATATATATATATATATATATATATATATATATATATTAAGTTTGTCTTTCCGTTTGTAACGCCTCGAAATATAAATTTTAGACCCCACAAAGTATTTATTGATCAGCATAAAATTGTATGTCGAGTTAGCGATGTCCGCCAGTCTGTGGAAGTGAGTCTAGCTTCCGAACGAAATGAAGTAGTTTCATAAAATTTTACTCAGATGTGAGTTATATCTATTGAAAATGGGCTATATATATCCACATTTTGGTATAGGCCCCATATAAATGTAACGACTGATTTATAGTTTTTATACCCTCCACCATACTATGGAGGGTATATTAACTTTGTCATTCCGTTTGTAACTCCTCGAAATACTCATGTCAGACCCAACAAATTATATACATCCTTGATCAGCGTAAAATTCTAAGTCGCTTTAGCGATGTCCGTCTGTCTGTCCGTCTGTCTGTCCGTCTGTCTGTCTGTCTGTCCGTCTGTCCGTCTGTCTGTTGTAATCACGCTATCTTTCGAATGAATTGAGATAGATGGCTAAAATTTTGCACACATGTTTATTTTTCCAGTAGGCAGGTTAAGTTCGTAAATGGGCCATGTAGGTCCACGTTTTCATATAGCCCCCATATAACGGTACCTCCCGATATTCGGTATTTTGATGATTTTAACGACATTATTTTCGGGAATTGTATCAAATTTGGTATTTGAAGTTCAAAATGGATACTACACCCTAAGACAGAAAATTGTCTGTGCAGGTCCACGTCTTCGTATAGCCCCCATATAACGGTACCTCTCTATATTCGGTATTTTAATGATTTTAGCGACATTATCCACCGGAATTGTTTCAAAATTGGTATTTGAAGTTCGTTATGGGAACTACAGTCTGTGACAGAAAATTATCTATGCTGGTCCAGGTCTTCGCACAGCTCCAATATAACGGCACCTCCTTATATACGATATTTTGATGATTTTAGCTACATTATTCTCCGTTTATTTCAAGTTTAGAATTAGAATATGGTAATGGCTTATGACAAACAATGCCTATGTATGTCCACGTCGTATAGACCACAATATAACGGCTATATTCGGTATTTTTAAAATGTTAACAGAATTTTTTAAGGGTTTTATTTTTTGAAAATTTCCAATTTCTTTGTAAATGGTGGAGGGTATTACTATTTTTAACTTGTATTACTGCTTTTTAACTTGTTTTTGTGTCTTTTAGTCGCTATTATAACCCTAATTATGGTCTAAGTTTTTATGTAGTCTCCATATAACTGTACCTCCAGATGTTAGGTATTTTCATGATTTGTGTCACACTTTTCACCAGAATGTTTCAAATTTAATATTTGGAGTTCCTAATGGGTACTACACGTTATGACAGAAAATTGCTCAAACTGGTCTACGCCTTCGTATAGCCCCCATATAACGGTTCCTCTCTATATTCGGTCTTTTGATGATTTTAACGACATTATTCACCGGAATTGTTTCAAGTTTCGTATTTGAATATCGTAATGGCTTATAACAAAAAATGTATATACAGGTCCACGTCTTCGTATAGGCCCCAATATAACGGCAACTCCCTATATTCGGTATTTTACTGATTTTAGGAAAATTTTTCAATTTTTTCCAACGATCGGCCCGGTTAAACTTATTGCTTATGTACTTGTTTACCAGTAAAATCGGTTGGTAAAACGTCTTTAAAATACCGTAGAGTCGATGATATCCATTTTCTGCTACATTGGTTTTTTTCTATTGCAATTTTCAAATAATACGAGTACGCAAAGGCTTAAGTCGTGCGGGGCCGACCATGTAATACCCTATAACACCAAAATATGTTAAAAACCCTCTTACTTCCAAACCCATTTTGGAAAATTTCGTTTTTGTAATAATGTCAGAGAGCCCTCCCGGATGTTAACCGCAACGCACTCCGTAGTGTTGTTATGTATTCAAATTAACTGCACACGAAAGTTGCGGTCCATTTTACAGCTAAATATAAGCCAATGGTCATTCAAAATGCTAGACTTCTTTCCTGCTATTATATTATTCTATTTTCATGCAACATTCCGTGTCGAAAAAATACAACAAGTAAAAAAGCTGAATGTTCGGCCGGTCCGAACTTTGAATACCCTCCAACATATGGTACAAATTTGGCAATTTTCAAAAAAATAATATCCGTTAAAATCTTAAAAATCCTGAAAGTAGCCGTATATTAGGGCAACCTTTGTCATAAGCTATTCAAATGCGAAACTTGAAAAAAGCCTGTTTATAATGTAGCTAAAATCATCAAATTACCGTATATAGGGAAGTATCGTGGAGGTTATAAAACGTAGACATGCGGAGAAAATTTTCTGTCATAGGCTTTAGTATCCATTACGAACTTCGAATATCGAATTTGAAATTGTTTCGGTAACTAATGTCGCTAAAACCATCAAAATACCGAATATCGGGGGTACCGTTATATGGAGACTATACGAAGACATGGACCTGCACAAACAATTTTCTGTCATAGACTGTAGTATTCATTACGAACTTTAAGTACCAATTTTGAATCAATTCCGGTGAATAATGTTGCTAAAATCATCAAAATACCGAATATCGGGAGATACCGTTATATTGGGGCTATACCAAAGCGTGGACCTATACATACAATGTTTCGCCACACAAACTAGGACCCATTATGACCTACAAATACCAATTCTGAGACAAATCCGTGAACATTTTTGGAAAAAATCATCAAAATACCGAATATCGGGAGGTACCGTTATATTGGGACTATAACAAAACGTGGACCGATATATCTCATTTTCAATACAAACCATCCTAGACACAATACAAATTATTTTGCTAAATTTTGACGCTCTACGTCAAATAATGTTGCCTATGTCGTGATTTCAACAGACAGACAGAGAGACAGACGGACATCGTTAAATCGACTTAGAATTTTATGTTGATTATGAATATATATACTTTATGGGGTCTACGACGAATATTTAGGAATGTTACGAACGGAATGACAAAGGTGGAGGGTATAAAAATTTAGATTCTCAGTGCTATTTTGCCGGTTTCGCCCTTTGACCATTTAACAAGTGCTGGAGAAAAGCCCAAATGTTGATATTATTTGCCGATTTTGCACAATTCTCGCTCTCACACTCGCGCACTCGAGTGTGGTGAGATAGACTGAAAGTAAGAGAATTGTAGTTGTTAATTATTTCTCACATTTCTCATTAAAAACATTAAACGCTCATCTACTTGTTTAGTAAACATAGCAAAAATAAATACGTTTAGTGGGCTATAGTCAATCGTTCGGAGCAGATCGTTGCTTTGTGACTTTTAGATCACATAAATAAAAATTTTTAAAAATTTATTAATAATTTTTGCAGTCATAACGATATAAACAATATAAAAAACGAATGCAAAACCGAGAACAATGTCCATCAATCAAAACGAAGTAACTCACAAAGAGGTAAATAATTTCTAAGAAGCTGAAATGTGTGCGTTTGTGTGCTTGTTAATTTCCAGTCAAGCGGAAAACCGAAAATGTGGACTATGACCTTTCGTTCCACCTCTAATTCGATGACAATATCATGTGTAAACACAACATAGACGTAGGAAAAAAGTGCATTTCGATGTGGGGCCCACAACGAATATTTGAAAATGAAAATAAAGAAAGCGTAAACCTGCATAAGTAATTTTTTGTCATAGGTTGTAGTGCCCATTAAGATATAAAAATACGTATTTTGAAATAATTCCAGTCTATAATGTCGCTAAATTCATCAAAATACCGAATATTGGGAGGAACCGTTATACTGGAGCTATACGATAACGTGGACCGATTTATTGGGTCTGACATGAATATTTCGAGGAATTACGAACGGAAATGAGGGTATATTAACTTTGTTATACCGTTTGTAACATCCCTAAATGTTCGTCGTAGACCCCATAATGTATATACACTGGTGGCCAAAACTAAAGCAACTGAAATTACAAGGAGAATGAATGCCCTGTAACTTTTTCAAAAATTAAGAAAATGAGAAAGTTTTTCTTGTTTTAAATTAGGTACTTTATTCACTTTTTAAAAACCTAAAACATAAAACCAAAATTCATTTTTATATAAAAGAATAATGTTTGGTAAAGTCAATTAACCCGATTTTGGCTTGGACAAAACAAAAGCAACTCTGTTGTTCATTCATATAACCGCTGCAATTTCAGTTGTTTTTACTGTGATATTTATCGCTTTTTGCTTCCTTCGACAATTTCGATTGTCATAAATCCTTTTTGAGAAGTTTTTTACAACAGTATGTGTTTTTCTTTTCGTTTTTTAAGTACTGCCCAAAAAAAATTTAAAAATGGCTAAAAGCAAATACAGTACCTGAATAAAACGGCAAATTATCAGTGACTATCAAAACAACATATCACAGAAAATGATTTCCGAGAAATATTTCATAAATATTTATGTGATTTCATAATTATTTCTGTATACTAAGTCAGTTTTTTGAAACTGGATCAGTAGTAACAGTCTATAACGGATGAAGGCCGTGAAAAACTTCATCCCGTACTGATCCACAACTTGTGAGAGAAATAAAAAACAACTATTTAAGAGTTCAACTGGATTGGTGAGAGAGCAATCATTGAATATAAGCTCGAGATCAGTGCGTAGACGAGTATTGGCAGTTGGTCTGCATGCCCGTAAGACATCAAAAAACCATTTATATCTGAAACAAGTAAGCAAAGGCTACAGTCGAGCGGGGCCGACCGTTGAATACCCTACAACACTATTATAAACGATACAGTTTATATAGGCGAGATACTCGACAGAATTCCACAAGATATTGTGACAAATAATTAAAGATAACCATCAGGTTTCGTTCTCTAATTTTCGAATAATAGCAACTTAAACGATTTTGCTTATTTCCAATTTATTGGTAGATGCCCTAGATCTGGAACCAATATTTCCCAAAGACCTATAATCTCTCAGAAGTGGCGAAATATTAACATTTATTATTGGTTTTTGACTGAAACGCATCTATATGAGATACAGACATTTGAATATGTTCTTCAACGAAATAGTCAGAAGTGCGTCTTTCCTGTATTTGTGAATTCTCCAAAAAGTCACTGCAATGGGCATTTTCGTATTTTGTCGACAAAAGTTGGCAAACTATTTCACACATTGAATATTTTTGGATGGCCATCCAAAACTGTTTGGCTTTTGCAATGTCCGGTAACCCCCATTCAAATGTGCGTGTGGATCGGGCGATAATTACGACCTGCTGACAATTTTGCAGTTTTTTTGGTCCATTTCAACCCCTAAATATATGGCGATCATCTCCAAAAAGAGTAGGCTTCTATTCTGACCCTCATCTTATCCCCATGCAAAATTTCGTAAGAATCGGGCCATAAATGCGATCTGTATATGATATCCTGATATCCTAACTACTTAGTTTTGTTAGCTGTAGAAATATTACCAAATGTTTAATTCAAAATGAAAATATGCCAAAAATATGACAAAATGGAAAAAATATGAGAAAATTTTACAAAATCAATATTTTCAGCTTTAGAGAGATATTTTTATGCGATTTTTTAGACGTTTTTTCTTTCCTGCCAAGAGGCCATTCTGAATTAATGAGAACTGTTGAAATCAGTTCAGCCGTTCTCGACATATAAGAGATCTTTCAAGCATATATTATTTGATAGACATATATATCGCACATATTTTGCTATATATCCGATTTGTTGGATGTTAACATCAATGTAAAGATCAGAAGTGACCTTGTCATGTCTTTGTGATTTCGCCGGGATTTAAAATATTCGCGATTTAATGAAAAATTTTGAATTTTTTCAACACAAAAGATATGGTCTATTTTACCCGCTAAATATTATCCGATGACCACCCAAATTGGTAGGCTTCTTCCCCGCCCTAAACTCTAGCCACATACGAAATTCCGCGTCGATTGGTCTATAATTGCGACCTGTATAGCTACTGCAAAATCCGATATTTTTTCAGTATTTGGTCCATTTCGACCCCTAAATATTATGCGATCATCTCCAAAAGAAATAGGGTTCTATTCTGACCCTAGCCCCACCTCCATTTTAAATTTCGTGAAGATCGGACCATAATTGCGACCTGTAGAGTGATTACAAATTAACATGGACAGACGGACAGACGGACAGACGGACAGACGGACGGACGGACATACATAGCTAGATCGACTCAGCTCGGCGAGCTAGGAAGATCCATATATACTTTCCTATATGGGAAACCAATATTTCGAGGTGTTACATAAATTCTGGCCCAATCAAACTTATAATACCCCCAACACATAGTGTTGTAGGGTATAAAAATCAGAAAGACTTTCGGAAACGATAATATTAAGTGAAATCAAGCTCAATGGAAAAAACATTATTTCTGGGATGAGTCTACGTTTAATATTAAAGGCTCAGACGTGAAAAATTTTACGGTGAGAAGACCAAAAAATGAAGGACTCAAGCCGCAATGTTGCAAAGGTATAGTGAAGCATGAGGGAGGGTCAAAAATGGCGTGGCGCTGTTTTTCTTTCTATGGACTTGGGCCTATCCATAAAATAAAGGAAGTTGTAGATCGGTTTGTTTACAAAGATGTGTTGGACATCACGTTGTTCCCTTACGCTGAGTAAACTATTCGGCTGATTTGGGTGTTTCAGCATGACAATGATCCCAAACTTGTATCAAAACTTGTCAAATATTGGTTGCGGGAGTTAAAAATTCATGTTTTCTTATAGCCGGCACAATCACCTGACCTAAACTCCTTAGAAAACCTTTGGAGTATCGTAGATAGGAAGAACAATAGAGATTCGGAAATAAATAAGCACAGCATTTTATAAGGATTTGGGGTGCCTGGGAAAGCACACCCAAGGATCAAATTGAGCGTGTTATAGATTCAATGCCTCGTAGGTGTGCAGCTGCTATCAAAAATAATGGTTATGCTATCGACTACTAGCCAAAATTTAATTATTTTAAAATAAAAAATCAAAAGTTGCTTTAGTTTTGACCAAGCAAAAATTGGGTCATTTTAGTTTTCCACATATTATTTTTCGTCCAAATTAATTTTTGTATTTTTATTTTTAGTTTCTTAAAAGTGAATTAAACCCCTCATTTAAAACTTAAAAAATAATTACGATTTGTTTATTTTTTAAAAGTTACAGGACATTTATTGTCTTTGCGATTTAAGTTGCTTTAGTTTTGGCCACCAGTGTATATTCATAATCAGCATAAAATTCTAAGTCTGTATAACGATGTCCGTCTGTCTGTCTGTCTGTTTAGCAGAATAATTTGTATTGCGTCTAGGATGGTTGGTATTGAAAATGAGATATATCGGTCCACGTTTTGGTATAGTCCCCATATAACGGTACCTCCCGATGTTCGGTATTTTGATGATTTTTGCCACACTTTTTCATGGATTTGTCTGATAATTGGTATTTGTTGGTCCTAATGGATTCTATCTCCGGTGGCGAAACATTGCATGTATAGGTCCACGTTTTGGTATATCCCCCATATAACCGTACCTCCCGATATTCGGTGTTTTGATGATTTTTGCCATATTTTTTCACGGATTTGTCTCAAAATTGGTATTTGTAGGTCATAATGGGTCCTAGTTAGTGTAGCGGAATATTGTGTGTGTAGGTCCACGCTTTGGTATAGCTCTATATAACGGTATCTTCCAATATTTGGTATTTTGATTGTCTAAAAATTGGAATTAGTTGGTCATAATTGGTTCTAATGTTTTCTTTACCTTAAGGTGGAGGGTATTAAAAGTTCGGCCCGGCCGAAATTAATGTTTTTTCACTTGTTTTCGATAAATTTCTGATTTAATTTTCATTCTCACGGAATGCAAGACACAGACATAGTTAGAATAAATTTCACAATAACTTTTTCTTTAGACGACAAATTGGCAGAATGAACACTTAAAAAGGCCGCCATAAAGTTAAGTTAGAAGACATTATTGATACCAACGACCTGATAATGATTAAACGTAAGACCTCTTGTGAAGGCTATGTGGCGATTATCAAGGGTTATTTTCGACTTTAGAATCGTTTCGATAAATGAGATAAGAAATGTTTACTGAAAAAATAAACCAAAGTTAAATAAATATATTACCCCACATATTTGGCTGATTGGGCGAGCGTAAATAATGGATTTTAGGAAATAACAAGTTAAAAAGCACTAAGTTCGGCCGGGCCGAACTTTTAATACCTTCCACCATTTGCAACGAATTTGGAAACTTTTAAAAAATAAAATCCTTAAAAAATTCTGTTAAAATTTTAAAAATACCGAATATAGCCGTCATATTGGGGTCTATACGACGTGGACATACATAGGCATTGCTTGTCATAAGCCATTACTATATTCAAATTGGAAACTTGAAATAAACGGTAAATAATGTAGCTAAAATCATCAAAATATCGTATATAAGGAGGTGCCGTTAAATTGGAGCTGTGCAAAGACCTGGACCAGCATAGACAGTTTTCTGTCACAGGCTGTAACATCTATTACGAACTTCAAATACCACATTTCAAACAATTTCGGTGGGTATTGTACCTAAAATCGTCAAAATACCGAATGTGGGGAGGTACTGATATATGGGGCCTATACGAAGACCTGGACCCGCACAGACAATTTTCTGTCACAGACTGTAGTATTCATTACGAACTTCAAATACCAATTTTCAAACAATTCCGGTGAATAATGTCGCTAAAATCATCAAAATACCGAATATAGGGAGGTACCGTTATAGGGGGGCTATACGAAGACGTAGAACTGCACAGACAATTTTCTGTCTTAGGGTGTAGTATCCATTTTGAGCTTCAAGTACCAAATTTGAAACAATTCCCGTGAATAATGTCGTTAAAATCACCAAAATACCGAATATCGGGGGGTACCGTTATATCGGGGCTATATGAAGACGTGGACCTACATGGCTCATTTCTTGACTTAGGATGTAGTATCCATTACGAACTTCAAATTCCAAATCTGAAACGATTCCGGTAAATAATGTCGTTAAAATCATCAAAATACCGAATATCGGGGGGTACCGTTATATGGGGGCTATACGAAGACGTGGACCTGTACAGATAATTTTCTGTCTTAGGCTGTAGTATCCATTACGAACTTCAAATGCCAAATTGGAAACAATTCCATTGAATAATGTCGCTAAAATCCTCAAAATACCGAATATCGTGAGGTACCGTTATATGGGGGCTATATGATAACTTGGACCTACATGGCCCATTTACGAACTTAACCTGCCTACTGGCAAAATATACATGTGTGCAAAATTTTAGCCTTCTGTCTCCATTTGCTCGAAAGATAGCGTGATTACAACAGACAGACAGACAGACGGACAGACAGACAGACACACAGACAGACAGACGGACATGGTTAAATCGTCTTAGAATTTTCCCCTGATCAAGAATATATATACTTTGTTGCGTCTGACATGAGTATTTCGAGGAGTTACAAACGGAATGACAAAATTAATATACCCTCCATAGTATGGAGAGGATATAAAAAACGAATGGCAATATCATGCGAAATATTATTATTTACAAGTAAAAAAGCTGTAAGTTCGGCCGGGCCGAACTTTGAATACCCTCCACCATTTGGTACAAATTTGGCAATTTTCAAAAAAATAAAATCGGTTAAAAATTCTGTTTAAAATATTAAAAATACCGAATGTAGCCGTATATTAGAGTCTATACGACGACATGGACCTGCATAGGCAACTTTTGTCACAAGCTACTACAATATACAAATGAGAAACTTGAAAAAAAATCTGTTTATAATGTAGCTAAAATCATCAAAATACCGAATATAGGGAGGTACCGTGGGGGTTATAAAACGTGGAACTGTACAGACAATTTTCTGACATAGGCTGTAGTATTCATTACGAACTTCAAATACAAATTTTAAAATAATTCCGGTAAATAATGTCGCTAAAATCATCAAAATACCGAATAACGGGGTTACCGTTATATGGTGGATATAAGAAGACGTCGACCTGCACAGACAATTTTCTGTCATAGGCTATAGTATCCATTACGAACTTCAAATGCGAAGTTTGAAACAATTCCGGTAAATAAGGTCGCTAAAATCATCAAAATACCGAATATCGGGGGGTACCATTTTATGGGGGCTATACGAAGACGTGGACCTACATGGCCCATTTTCAATACCGAAAGTCCTGCAGACATAGTACAGATTTGAGTAAAGTTTTGTCAACTTACCTCATTTCGAGCGGAAGCTAGAGTGATTTCCACAGACGGACAGACCGATAGATGGACGGACATCGGTAAATCGATATAGAATTTTATGCTGATTTGTGGGCTATAAAATGTATATTTCGAGGTGTTACAAACGGAATGACAAACTTGAAATAATTTCATCAAAATATCGAATATATGGATATACTAGAGGCTATTGGGAAATAATATAGAATCTTTTCTGCCAGAGAAGGTGGTGCCCTTTAATAACTCTAACTATCAATCTTTTTATGCTAAATGATATGCAGCCTTTGGGATAATTTACATTTACATTAAATTTTTCATTGGGTCTCTGTATAAATTCAATTAAATTAGGTTTCTTTTCTTACAAATAAGTCTTACTGATCAGTATTTTTATATTCTCTTCCAGTTCATTGATCTACGAATCCCAATGCCCTGGGGTTATGTTGTTGGACGTTGGTATGGCAATCGTAAAGTAAGACCCATATTGGCCCTGCATGGTTGGCTGGATAACATGGGAACGTGGAATACATTGATCCCACTGCTACCGGAACACATTGGCATACTCTGTATCGACTTGCCGGGCCATGGTTTATCACCAAAACTGCCGCGGGGTATTGTCTATCACGCCGTCGACTATGTGTGTGTGATTTTGCGAATCATGGAAGAATACCAATGGCAAAAGGTTTCAATTCTGGCGCATTCAATGAGTTCGATGATCTCCTTCATTTTCGCCTCACTTTACCCCGATCGTTTAGACATGTTGATTAGCATCGATATTGTTAAAACAAGATATAGGCCACCCAGTGCTCAAATTGAACACATACGGAATAATATTGAAAAATATCTCATTGAAGATGATCGTTTACAGTTGGCCAATCAAATGGAACCACCCTCGTATAACCGCGAACAGCTAATGCAATTGATGTTCGAGGGCACAAATCGTTCAGTGACCATAGAGAATTGTTCGTATATCTTGGAACGTAATATCACCAAATCCACCAAATATCCGGATAAGTATTATTTTTCACGTGACGGTCGTGTTAAGTATTATTTTGAATTCACCACTTCACCACCGTTTGCCGCTGAACTGGCACGTCGGATACACGACGTACCCTATTGTGTGATCAAAGGGTCTCAATCGAATTTTATTGATGAGCAAAGCGATGAAGTCATTGAGATTTTAAAAAGCAAAAATCCGCATTTTGAGCTACACGAAATCGAAGGTACCCATCATGTACACCTGAATAATCCTCAGGCTGTGGCTGCCGTATTGTGTACCTTTATTAACCGCCACAGACCTCCAATGATAGAAACTTGGTCACTACGTGAGGATATGGAGGAGGACGAAGAACGCGAAGAGAAACAGGATGAGGTGAAGAGTGAAAAGAATATCAAGTCGAAAAAGAGAAAAAGTAAATTATGACTGTTGCCTGTATCTGTAATGGATGGTAGCAGTCGTGATCTGGATATTACATGGAAGAGTGCTTGTATGTGTTTGGGAAATTACAAATGATGCAACGCTATAGATATTCAGCCATATGTAACCTCTTTATATGCATACTAAATATTATTAATAATCTTCACAACTTTAGATTCGTAAAAAGTATTATATTTATTATATGAACAGATGATGAAAAAGAAACATGAACATTGTAAATTCTGGATTAATCCACTGAATTAAAAGCTGTAAATAGTTTGAAAATGTAAAAAATGCAAAATGTAAAAATTATTAGTGATTAAGATTATATTAAACAGCCATTATTTTAAACAGCATGTATTCTTTATGATAAAAATAAAAAAAACAAGTAAGCAAAGACTATAGTTGGAGGGGCTGTCCGTGCGATACCCTACACCACTATAAAAATGCATGGTGTTACTTTGAATATTTATCCAAAATGAGAAGGTATAATCAACTTTGGATCGACTTGATCCTCTCGTACCAAATAACATTGCCATAGACTGAATGATATGACTTCGAGAAAAATTATATTAAAAACAAGTAAAAAAACATTAAGTTCGACCGGGCCAAACTTTTAATACCCTCCACCTTAGGGTAAAAGAAACATTAGATCAGTGAAAAAATGTGGCAAAACCCATCAAAATACCGAATATCGGGATGTACCGTTATATGGGGGCTATATCAAATCATGGACACATGCATGCAATGTTTCGCCACCGTAGATGGAACCCATTACGACCAACAAATACCAATTTTCAGACAAATCCGTGAAAAAATGTGGCAAAAATCATCAAATTACCGAATATCGGGAGGTACCGTTATATGAGGGCTATACCAAAACGTGGACCTATAATTACTATGTTTCGTTACACGAACTAGGACCCATTATGACCCACAAATACCAATTTTTAGACAAATCAGTGAAAAAATGTGGCAAAAACCATCAAAATACCGAATATCGGGAGGTACTGTTATATGGGGGCTATACCAAATCATGGACAAATACATGCAATGTTTCGCCACCGGAGCTGGAACCCATTATGACTAACAAATACCAATTTTCAGACAAATCCGTTAAAAAATGTGGCAAAAATCATCAAATTACCGAATATCGGAAGGTACCGTTATATGGGGGCTATACCAAAACGTGGACCTATAATTACTATGTTTCGCTACACGAACTAGGACCCATTATGACCCACAAATACCAATTTTTAGACAAATCAGTGAAAAAATGTGGCAAAAACCATCAAAATACCGAATATCGGGAGGTACCGTTATATGGGGACTATACCAGAACGTGGACCGATATATCTCATTTTCAATACCAACCACCCTAGACACAATGCAAATAGCTCTGCTAAATTTTGGCGCTCTACGTCAAATAATGCGGGCTGTATCGTGATTTCAACAGACAGACGGACAGACAGACAGACAGACGGACACTGTTAAATCGACTTAGAATTTTATGCTGATTTATGGGGTCTAGGACGAATATTTAAGGATGTTACAAACGGAATGACAAAGTTAATATATCCTTCTTTCCAAGGTGGAGGGTATAACAAGTAAGCAAAGGCTATAGTCGTGCGGGCCGACCATGTGATACCCTACAGCACTACCATACGTTAGAAGCGCCCTTATGTCCGAATCCATATTGGAAGATTTCGCTTTTGAAATTATGTCACGGAGCACTGTCCAAATATTACCATTAGCATTTTGGACAGGGATATTTGCCCTATATTTACGGACTCCGTCGTGCTGTTAGTTGTTGTGGTCCATTTTACAGCTAAATATAATGCAATGGTCATCCAAAATGCTAGAATTCTTCCATGTCCTTAACTCTCTTCTCAGGGGTGTCGATTGGCGTGAACAGTATTTTTTTTTTGTTTTTGGTCCATTTCAACCCCTAAATATGTTGCGGACATCTTTGAAAACAATAGGCCTAGCCCTTCTGAGCCCAACCCTACCCTTGTGAAAATTTTCGTGAAGATCGGACGATAATTGCAATCTGTATATTATAACCCCCACCTGTGTTGTAAGGTGAAAAAGTATTACAAAATAGACACTTCCATATTAAAAATCAAATTGAAAATATCGCATGCGATAAAAAATATGAAAAAATAAAAAAATTTCACAAAGTACTACAAAATCTATATTAACATCACTATTCGCATCTTTTTATGCGATTTTTTTAGATTTTATACTTTTATGAAAAGAGGACATTCTGAATTGACAAAATTTGTCAAAATCGGTTCAGCCATTCTTGAGATATAAGCATTCTATCTAACATCCCATTTCTTTGTATATCCGATATATTTACTATCGGCATCTACGTTACGGTCTGAATAGACTTGTTCGTCTATTTGTGATTTCGCCGGGATTAAAAATATTCGCCGTTTGATGGAAAAATTGACTTTTATTTAACACAAATGTTATGGTCTATTTCACCCACTAAATATTACCAGATGGCCATCGAAATTGGAAGGCTTCTGTCCAGCCATAACCTCTAGCCCCATGCTATCTTCCACGTCGATTGGTCTATAATTGCAACCTGTGGAGCAACTGCAAAATCAGGAAATTTTTCAGTCTGAAAGCAATAGGGTTCTATTCTGGCGCTAGTCCCACCTCTATTCTAAATTTCGTGAAGATCGGGCCAAAATTGCGACCTGTAGAGTGATTACAAATTAACATGGACAGACGGACAGACGGACATACATAGATAGATCGACTCAGCTCGGCAAGATAGGAATATCCATATATACTTTCCTATGTGGGAAACAAATATTTCGAGATGTTACATAGTGTTGTAGGGTATAAAAATGTTTTACTGCACAGAAAGAGAAATGATAATCCGATTTTGCTCCAACTTTATCCTAATATTTGCATCAGTGCTAGGTCAAAAATGTACAATGTCGGTCCACTCCATCAGGTATCTCCCCCACAAATTACACACATTCCAATATTTTTATTAACCCAAGGTCTGGTGTAAATATGGAATATATCGGCCACTCCTTCTGGTATCTTTCGCACAAAGGGTCACAATTTTCAATATTCATAGAGCTCATAAAACGCGAAATTAACTTCCGATGCCGTTCAGACTTTGCACATCTCAAAACTTCTATTAACACAATAGCTTTTATTAAGAAGTAGAGATCGGACCATTTCTTCTGGCACCTCTTGCACATAGGGTTCAAGATTTTGAAAAACAAAAGGCTCAAAGAAAGCGAGATAAGCATCCATCTCTTTTCAAATCTCACACATACAAACATTATGCCCTTCACCTTCGAAAGGAGGGTATATTAACATTGTCATTCCGTTTGTAATATCCCTATATATTCGTTGTAGACCCCGTAAAGTTTATATAATCATAATCAGCATAAAATTCTAAGTCGATTTAACGATGTCCGTCTGTAAGTCGATGTTTTCCTGTAGCACTCATATATCACTACCTCCCGATATGCGGTATTTTGTATGATATTTGACACATTCCTCAAGGAAATTGTTTTAAATTCGGTATTTAGAGTTCGTAAGGGATTCTACGTCCTGTGCAATAACATTGTCGGAAAGGTATGAGCAGAAATACTGAAATCTGTTGAAAGTTTGAAAAAAATTTAACACTTAGTTCACATTTTTTGAAAAATAAAATTATTTAAAATATTTACCCTATAATTGGAAGGCACTAAGATGTATGGATTGATTTTGCCCATTTACCCACCAAACCGAGTGATTTTAATATTACGGTGTTTATACTAAGTCTAGGACCCGGTTATATTTAATTAATATTATTTAAGTTTTGACCATTTGTAGGGGAGGTATCTAAAGTAGTGGTCTGTTGTATCTAACATTCACTCTGGACATAATATTATTAGAAGTATCACAGTGTGCAAAGTATGATGAAAAATAAAAACGTTGACCCAGTAAAACCCAGCAAATTCGTTAAAAGCCAATATACAGCATTCCCATTTAATAATTATTTTTTGTTTGAACACAGCTATTTTATTGACCAAAACTGTATATGCATATCTACACATGTTATCAAACTTAAGTCATTCGGCTACCATCGACATACCGCCAAAAACTTTTGTGTTTGTAGCTGGTTAGACCGTCAAAACAATCAGACCATCAACAGACTTAAGTATCAACGTAAATTTCAAGTGACAGAGTCCAAACATACACGTTGTTTATATGTGCGATGTTGTTGGTGTCGTACTCTGTTTATGAGGCGCTCTCTTATTGGGTTATGGAAAAGAGTGCGTTGAATAATAAGACATGGAAGAACTACTATTAGGTGATTTCATTTTATAACGAAGAGTCGTCTTTATAAGAGAAACATTTTTACATTTGTTTGTGTGCCAGGGGTGTAAAAGTTGATTCTTTATCAATTATTGAAATAATGCCATGTATAATGTGTACACTTTTGATCGGTGAAAAATTGGAAATGAATAATAATAATAATAATAATAATAATAATAATAATAATAATAATAATAATAATAATAATAATAATAATAATAATAATAATAATAATAATAATAATAATAATATAATAATAATAATAATAATAATAATAATAATAATAATATAATAATAATAATAATAATAATAATAATAATAATAATAACAATAATAATAATAACAATAATAATAACAATAATAATAATAACAATAATAATAATAATAATAATAACAATAATAATAATAATAATAATAATAATAATAATAATAATAATAATAATAATAATAATAATAATAATAATAATAATAATAATAATAATAATAATAACTAATAATAATAATAATAATAATAATAATAATAATAATAATAATAATAATAATAATAATAATAATAATAATAATAATAATAATAATAATAATAATAATAATAATAATAATAATAATAATAATAATAATAATAATATAAAATAATAATAATAATAATAATAATCATAATAATAATAATAATAATAATCATAATAATAATAATAATAATAATAATAATAATAATAATAATAATAATAATAATAATAATAACAAGTAAGCAAAGGCTATAGTCGTGCGGGGCCGACCATGTGATACCCTACAACACTACAATATGTGAGAAGCCCCCTCATGTCCAAATCCATTTTGGAAGATTTCGCTTTTGAAATTATGTCACGGAGCACTGCCCAGATGTCTCCCTTAGCATTTTGACCAGGGCCATTTTCCCGATATTTATGCACTCCGTCGTGCTGTTAGTTTTTGTGGTCCATTTTACGGCTAAATATAATCCAATGGTCATCCAAAATGCTAGGATTCTTCACTGTGCTTAACTATATTCTCAGGAGTGTCGATTGGCTTCAATTATGTGATCAGGATTTTTTCTGTTTTTGGTTCATTTGAACCCCTAAATATTTTGCGACCATCTTCAAAAGCTATTTGACTATATTCGTCAACGAAATCAGCATAAAAAAGCTAGAAGTTCGCCTTTTGTGTATTTCGGATATCACATGTAAGTAATGTTGGTATTTTTTCACACAAAAGTAGTCCATTCTATCCGCTGTCTTAAATTCTAACTTCATGCAAGATTTCGTGTCCGTTGGTTTCTATTTGTGACCTTTATAACGGCTGCAAAATCAGGAACATTTTGAGTTGCTGGTCCATTTCAACCCCTAAATATCATCTTTGAAGCCCTTCTGAGCCTAACTCTACCTTTGTCAAAAATTTCGTGAGGATCGAACGATAATTGCAATCTGTATATAAATAATAACCCCAACCTGTGTTGTAAAGTGCAAAAATATTACAAAATATACATTTCAATATTATAAGTCAAATTGAAAAAATCGCATGCGATAAAAAAATATGAAAAAATAAAAAAATGTCACAAAATACTACAAAATCTATATTAACATCATTATTGGTATCTTTTTATGCGATTTTTTAAGATTTTATACTTTTATGCCAAAAGGGCGTTCTAATTTTAAAAAATTTGTCAAAATCGCTCCAGCCATTCTGGAGATATAAGCATTCTAGCTAGCATCCCCTTCCTTTGTATATATACATTGTATATATTTCGCTATATATATCCGATATTTTTACTATTGGCATCTACGTAACGGTAAGAATTGACCTGTTCGTCTATTTGTGATTTCGCCGGCATTAAAAATATTAGCGGTTTAATGGATAATTTGACTTTTATTTATCACAAATGCTATGGTCTATTTCAACCACTAAACGTTACCCGATGACCATCAAAATTGGAAGGCTTCTGCCCAGCCCAAAGCTCTAGCCCCATGCTAACTTTCGCTTCGATTGATCTATAATTGTGACCTGTAGAGCAACTGCAAAATCAGGAAATTTTTCAGTTTTTGGTCCATTTCAACCCCAAGATATTATGCGATCATCTCCAAAAGAAATAGGGTTCTATTCTGACATTAACCCCACCTACATTTTAAATTTCGTGAAGATCGGGCCATAATTGCGACCTGTAGAGTGATTACAAATTAACATGGACAGACGGACAGACGGACAGACGGACGGACGGACATACATAGCTAGATCGACTCAGCTCGGCGAGATAGGAAGATCCATATATACTTTCCTATGTGGGAAATCAATATTTCGTGGTGTTACATAATTTTTGGCCCAATCAAACTTATAATACCCCCAACACAAAGTGTTGTAGGGTATAATAATAATAATAATAATAATAATAATAATAATAATAATAATAATAATAATAATAATAATAATAATAATAATAATAATAATAATAATAATAATAATAATAATAATAATAATAATAATAATAATAATAATAATAATAATAATAATAATAATAATAATAATAATAATAATAATAATAATAATAATAATAATAATAATAATAACAATAATAATAACAATAATAATAATAATAATAATAATAATAATAATAATAATAATAATAATAATAATAATAATAATAATAATAATAATAATAATAATAATAATAATAATAATAATAATAATAATAATAATAATAATAATAATAATAATAATAATAATAATAATAATAATAATAATAATAATAATAATAATAATAATAATAATAATAATAATAATAATAATAATAATAATAATAATAATAATAATAATAATAATAATAATAATAATAATAATAATAATAATAATAATAATAATAATAATAATAATAATAATAATAATAATAATAATAATAAGAAGAAGAAGAAGAAGAAGAAGGAAACGACCTAGACCATTAGTTCGTTTTTGTGATCTATGTAGAACATTCCGATCGCATCCATTAATTTTTCTAAGGAAATAACAAGTTACATTTATTGTCCGATTTAGAAAAAAACACACTTTTCATATTTTGGGTCCAAGAATGAGTCCAACTGCAATTGGAGTTAATCGGTTACGGCAGTTTCAGATAAAGTTATGTGCGCGAGGAACCTCTTTTGTAACCATTCTTGGGTGGCGCGTGCTGAGTGCGATGGTGCTGAGTCCTGTTGGAATGTCCAAGGTCTGCGGCCAAAATTTTTGCGTGCCCAAGGCTTTAATACACCCTCCAGAATACTTTCGCTATAATATTCGGCATTTTTTCCTGATGCCACGAGCGGAGAGCCATCGACTGTTATGGCGGCTTACACCATTACCATGGCCGACGCTTGAGTTCTGGTGGCCAACCGAAGGTGCACATTTTCAGCTGACCTCTTTGGCAAGTAAACACGATCATTTTGTTTGTTTACAAACTACTGCACAACGAATGTTTTCTCATCGGAGAAAACCAAATTCAGCAGCTCACCACTTTCGGCTAAGCGAAGCAACTCTTTAGCTCGTTTGAGTCTATTTTCTTTCTGTTGCGATGTAAATTCTTGCACTTTTTGGAATTTCCATGGCTTTTCCCTTCGGCAAATATTGCGATATGTTCAGCTCACGAGCTATTTTTCGGCCACTGCGACGCGGGTTTCGATCAAGTCGCGTCTTTACTTTTCGAACCATTTCTGCTGATGTTGCTGTTTTCTTCCGTTCACTTCTTTGACTTTGGGCTACGCTACTTTGTTAAGACTAAAATTATTATTTCGATGAGTTACAAACGGAATGACGAACTAAATATACCCTCCATCCTATGTATGGTGGAGGGTATACAAATTGTGTAAGATCTCAATATTAAAATTGTCAAAATACACTCTTAATTCATTCTCATATATAGACATTTTTGTTAAAAAAAAATAACATTCCGTAAAATGTTGTACAAATTATTTTTAAATATTGAGTACGAGGACTCATTCTAATACATTCTAAATGAATACCGTATCGATTCGGCTATGTAATACTACCTACATTTTCCGGGTTAAAACAACAAACCAGCACAGTAAAAATGCTGTCAGCTGCTTGCTATGTCATGTTGTTAAATAATATATTTCTGAACAGTAGTGCTCCCTTCCCTGGTGTATGTCTCTTATATTTTTAATTCGAACGAAGAACGGTTGTTACACTGACTCAGCTATAACGAACTAACGTGTCTCGCGGTGATGTCAGATCTAATACATGCATATTTACAATTTAAGAGATACAAAATTAATAGCTGACGTTTTCTTAAGTATCGAGACATACACACGTTGAGAGTTAGTAGTAAAGAGTCCGCGCTATGGAGCTGTGAGGTGCTGTTGGTATGTCGAGTAAACAAAGCTAGCACCTAATTTTTGAAAACAATAATGGATAAACGTGTGGATGAAATACCGGTGTGTAATATTTAAATACTTTTGAAAAGTGAAAAGACTACATTAGGTTAAATGTACTGATAAATGAAATTAATTTACAAAATTAAACAATAAAATCAATTGTGCTTGAGAGATTCTCGAAGTGTACATGCATTTTTCAAAAGTAAAGTATTCTCTGAGAGGCTGAAGGTTTTGTTCTCTCGATTTGTTAATTTCTTGTGGAAAGCAATCGAAAATGTGTATAAAGAGAAATAGAAATTAATGTATGTTTTTGATTTAAATTAAATTCACAAAAAAAAAAAAAAAAAAAAAAAAAAAAACACAAAACAAACAATTGCAGATCTTAAGTTAAACAATTTGGCGAAAATCTTTAAAATGTCCAAAATAGATATTGGCCGCACTAAAGCGAGGACCTATATCGACCATGACCCAGCAAAAATACTCATTAGAGATCGGGTTACCAACTCCAAAATCAATAAATCAGTATTAATATAACGACTTTTAGTGACTTTTTGCGGACTTTGCAATGAGTGTTTTTGCTCAAATTAAGAATAAGAAGTTGCTGAAATAACACTGGAAAATATGACAAAATCCTTAAATACCTGAAATCTAGTGAAGTGGAGTTTTACCAAAATATGGACGTAAATTAAACAGTAAACATATTAGTCAGGGCGTTAAGTAAAAGTCATATAACGTTTGAAACCTTTGAAAATTATTATATTCAAAATGTTGTAGAACAGTGTTGTCATGTTTGTCCGGGATACCGTAGTTTATTGTTGTCGCCAAATAGTTAGGCTTAATCGCATAAACAACTTTTATTTATTTGTGGAGAAAGATGATAATGTTTAGCAGGGGATAACGCAGAGAATACCTAGGTTTCGGAAAGAGCTACCAATCCTCATCAGTTCCCTTACTTTTTCTGTCTGGGATATTTTATTTTAAAACAACTTCTTGGGAGAATATACCAGACAAAAAAGTAAAAAAGTTGTAATTTCGGCCTGGTCGAACTTTGAATACCCTCCACCATTTGGTACAAATTTGGCAATTTTCAAAAAATAAAATCCGCTAAAAATTATTTTAAAATCATAAAAATACCGAAAGTAGCCATATATTATGGTCTGTACGACGACGTGGACCTGCATAGGCAACTTTTGTCACAAGCTATTACAATATTCAAATGCGAAACTTGAAAAAAATCTGTTTATAATGTAGCTAAAATCATCAAAATACCGAATATAGGGAGGTAACATGGGGGTAATAAAACGTGGACCTGCACAGACAATTTTCTGCCATAGGCTGTAGTATCCATTACGAACTTCAAACACAAAATGTGAAATAGTTCCGGTAAATAATGTCGCTAAAATCATCAAAATACCGAATATCGGGGGGTACCCTTATATTGGGGCTATACGAAGACGTGGGCCTGCATAGCCCGTTTTCTGTTTTATGCTGTAGTATCTATGACGAACTTTAAACGCAAAACTTTATTCCGGTAAATAATGTCGCTTATATCATCAAAATAGTGAATATGGGGGGGGGGGGGTACCGTTATATGGGGCTATTAGAATAGGTCCACGTCTTCTATGGCCCATTTTCAATACCAAAAGTCCTGCAGACATAATTTCGTTCGGAAGCTAGAGTGATTTCCATAGACGGATGGACGGACGGACATTGATAAATCGACATAGAATTTTATGCTGATCAAGAATATATACTTTTTGGGGTCTAAAATGTATATTTCGAGGTGTTACAAACGGAATGACAAACTTAATATAGGGATTAAGCCTAACTCTTTTGCAACAACTAAAAATGTTGTACTTTTTTTGGAGAGGTACGAGAAGCTGTTGGCAAATATTTTCTTCATGTTCGCTCCTGACCTGAGTCTGATATGGGAGGTACCAGAAAGAGTGAATCGATATATTCCGTTTATTAAACTAAACGGTTTGATTGAGAAACTAGTAAAAATTCTTATACCCTTCACCATTTTGAAGGATCTTTGAAAATAAAAAAAAATCCTCAAAAAAATGCTCAATTGAAAACCGTTATTACCGTGAAGTAACCATAGGTTGAAGTACCCGCTAAGAGCATCAAATACCAAAATAAAAAGAAATTCTGGTAATTGCTGTCGCTAAAATCATCTCCGAATATCTGGGGTACCGTTGCATGAGGGTATGCGACATCGTAGACCTATACAGACAATTATATTTCAATCGCTTGTGGAATCGACTTGGACCAGCATAAACAATTTTCCGTCCGACTGTGAAAATCACTCTAGCTTCCGAATGAATTGAAAATCTTAAATGTTACTTAAATGTGTATTCTGTCTGCAGCACTTTTGGTATTTGGTAAATGGTTGATAAATAGGTCCACGTTTAACTGTAACTCCCTATATTCGTATTTTGATGCTTTTAGCGACATTGTTCACCGGAATTGTTTCACGTCTACGTCTTCGTATAGCCACCATGTATCGGTACCTTCCAATATTCGGTATTTTGATGATTTTAGATACATTTTTCACCAAACCTTTCAATATTTGCTATGTTGATGATTTTGGCAACATTACTCACAGGAATTTTTCAAGTTTCGTATTTAAATATTGTAATGGCCTATGGCAAAAATGCCTATGCAGGTCCACATCTTTGTGTAGACTCAACCTCCCTGTATTCGGTATTTTTATGATTTTAAAAGGAATTATTTACGGTTTTTTTTTTAATTTCCAATTTTTTTCCAAATCGGGTAGAGTTTTCAAATTTCGGCCTGGCCAAACTGTTTTTTACTTGGTTTTTTTATATCCCATGCGACAATATTGAATTATTTTTTTATACCTTTCAACATATATTTTGGAGTATTATATACATAACGCAATTATCGTCAGATCGTCACGAAGTTTGCATAGGGATAGGGTTAGAGTTAGAACGGTTTTCTATAGCACCTATTTAACCTATACGATTAATTTTTCAACGGATTTTTTTTTAAATTTGGTTTACCAGGTCTTAATTACAAATATTGCATATATAACACTCAAATACTAGACATCGACAATTACAGACTTATTTCAAAAAGTGTAACTTAACAAAAAAGTTCGGCCCTGCTGAAGCTAACATGATATTTACTTGGTTCTATGAATAATCTCTGAACTATAAGGATAAAAAATACCGAATATCGAAGAATACCGTTATAAGTGATTTATAGAAAAACGTGGACCTAGATATTCAATGTTCTGCCATCGGATGTAGAACCCATTATGAATTACAAATACCAATTTTAAGATAAATTCTCGGAATATCGTGAGGTACCGTTATATGGAGGCTATACGAAAACGTGGACCTATATGTACAATGTTCTTCCACCAGAGCTGGAACCCATTAGGAACTACAAATACAAATTGTTGCACAAATCCGCAAAAAATGTGCCTAAAACCATAAATTTTCCAATATCGGGATTTATCTTTATATGGGGTCCATACGAAAACGTGGACCGATATATCTCATTTTCAATACAAACCATCCTAGATACATTACAAATTGTTCTGCCAAAGTTAATATGCACTCCTTTTCAAGGTGGAGGGCATAAAAATGCACATATTTTTTCATATATTTCGACGTGTCAATAAAGTTTGCATTATGTAGGATTTTGCATTTGAAATGGGTCATATTGGTCCAGTTTAGGTATATTCCCCATAAAGCTATGACCCACAATTCTCTTTATTTTGAGAATTGCTTAAAGGTGTTCTCAGTGGTGGAAATGACTCTTGGCTGGAATATTCTGGTATTTAAGATTCTCTAATTTTTAAGCTTCTGGCATATAGTTTATAGAAAAGAAAAAACTAAAATTGCAGAGATTTTTACGCCAAACTGTCTGGCTATTATTTAAAGGACGTCATAGTAAAGAGTTGGTGTCGATGAAGCTTAATGCAGGTTTTACTTGATTTACTTGTTTATGCATTCTTCCCATAATAACATTTTTTTTATAATTCCAGTTTGAGGACATAAAAATCGATGTGCCTTGGGGTGAGGTAGTTGGACGATGGTATGGCAATCGCAAAGTTCGTCCAATTCTTGCAATACATGGTTGGATGGATAACCTGGGCACATGGGATCGCTTAATACCGCTTTTACCCAAACACATTGGCATATTATGCATTGACCTGCCCGGCCATGGAAGATCCTCTAAACTGCCACTTGGCATCACATACCATGTATTCGAATATATTTTTATGATTGTGCGAATCGTCAAGGAATACAAGTGGCGAAAAGTGTCGTTAATGGGACACTCCATGGGCGCCATTATCTGTTATCACTACACAGCCCTGAATCCTCACATGGTTGATATGCTGATACAAATCGATTTGATCAAAGATGTTTACAATTCGACAAATAACCAAATCAAACAAATCCATACACGAATCGAGAAACTCCTAATTGAAAATGAACGTTTGGATAAGTTGGACATTAAGACGCCGCCATGTTATTCGTACGAAGAATTAGAGGAAGCGCTTTATAGAGGCTCAAATCAATCGGTGGAAAAGCAGTTCTGTAAACATTTGCTAAATCGCAGCATAGCCAAAGCAGAACAACACCCAGCTAAATTTTATTTTTCTCGAGATCCACGTGTCAAGTACCAAGTCCGAATGTCTGGAGAACACAAATTCGGACTAGAACTGGCCAAACGAATTCGCAACATCCCCTACATGATCATTCGATCGGATGAGCAAAGTTTGATGACTGCCAAGGACGAGGAAATTGTCGATGTACTCCGGGCAAATAATCCGCATTTTAAATATATTCGAGTGAAGAATTCCACCCACCATTTGCATTTAAATAATGCCGAAGAGGTGGCGTCCCATTTAAATCCTTTTATTTTGCGGCATCGTCCGGTTATATTGGACAGTTGGTCGGTGGACGGTAATGGCAATAATAGTGTGAACAAAGCATCTGTGAATAGTAAACTATAGGAACAATATTTGCAATTGGATTTGTATTTTGAATGTAGAGGTTGAACCGAAAATAATCAATTTGTGAAACTTTAAATTTTATTCATCAAATTTTGCGCATAATTGTATTAAATATAGTATTTATTCATATTTGTATAGTATTTATAATAAGTGGGATGTGATTTCTTAGAAAATGACAAATAAAGGTTCGTTTTATAAATAAATGGCTTTCCAATGCGATGTGTTACTTTGCCATTCAAAGAAAAAAAAGAGACATTTTGGTCGATCGAATGCCTATTTTATTATACAGTGAAAATATAACGTTAAACGAAAATCCAGTAAGGAGAGGTTAAAAGCCGGTGGCGTCGACTACAGGGTGAGATGAAAAAACTGCAAGCAATTTTAGACTTCTGTCATTTCTAAGCCACTCGTCCGTAATTTTAGTCTTTAAAGCATAATAAATCACAGATTTGACTCATGTAGGCGGCACAATTTTGATTATAAGTAATGACTCCATTTGACTTTATTATGAGTAATGACTCCATGACTAAATATAAATTTATATTCATGGCGAAAATTATAATTACCGTCGGTTTTAGATATTTTGAATAGCCTGATCTTTTTTTCCGCCGATGTGAAAATTCAGCTCAATTTTTGGTATTGTAGAAAGCATTCAAATGAGCTATAATTTGAAACTTGTATTTCCAACTTTTAAAATCCCGTACTGCGTGGTATTTAGTTTTGTCCACCTCATACATGAAGGCAGAATGTTGTCAGAAAAGCCTAAAAATTACTCTTTTGCTCCAATTACCGTAAGATGGGCATTAATTGTTTGTCATTTAAATTGTGCGGTGGAGATCCAATAAAGTTACTTTATTAATTTCGTTTTTTTTCATGTTTCTGCCACAATTTCCGACTGAATGCGTCCCAGATTGACATTTCGGAGTTTATTTCATATAGACGTACATTCTAAATCTACGTTTCCAACCAATATTCTCTTGGAGGTTACAAATTCAATAGAATACCAAATTTTCCTTTCTGACCACACATTGGTTGGGAAAGTGGACTTGGGGGTATACTAATGTGGGGACTATACTTAAATAAATCCATATATGGATAATTATCTGTAAGATGATTTTCTACCCCAGGTAGCCTCAAAACTAAGATGCGCCGTTTTCCGAAAAATAAAAATTTTATAAGAAGAGGTTTTCTTCCCCCTTAGAAACAAAGATGTCAAATAAGTGCCAAAAAATAAAAAAAGTGGCCAAGACCCCGAAAATACCTTAAATCATATGATGGTGATACCAAAACGTGATCATTTTTTGCAAAGATGGTTTCTTCTCAAATTATCAACATAAGTTAAAACTAGTACGAAAAATATGGTTAAAATGTAGAATATACTTGAAATCGGGTTGTTCCGTTATCGGGGGTTATGACGGGGGATCATGACCTGCCAAAGCGATTAAAGGTATTTTGAATGTTTAGGAAGAATTTCTATTTTGTGTCCTTTATAGTCCTTTATTTGACTGATTGCAGTCCCAAAGTAGTCCCAAAAAAGTAGGTCCTGGAGTAGAAAGCATTTAACATTGTATTGCGCCCTCATTTCATTTTTAATATTGTTCATTCAGAATTCAAAGCAATAAAAAATGTACACTTCAATATAGAAAAAAGAAAAAGAATCTTCAACTGGTTCGCTGATTTTTTTTGCGACAAATTTTTAAAGGTCCTTACGAAGTTTGTCAATAAAATGTACTACTATTTTGAAATTCGATTCCATTGAAAAATTGTCGATTTTTCCCGATTTTAGAATTTACATATAAGGAGACAACGGATAAAACTGTTATTTATAGATTTTATGTATTTATTGGGTAATACGTTTAAATATTAGAATTTCAAAAAAAAAAAAAAAAAAAAAAAAAACTACAAATGTACATTCGTAAATAGTAAGTCAAAATGGAAAAAAATATGCAATATAAAACATTACTATTGTACATTTTAAAAGTCAAAATGAAAATTTTCAAATTTCTGAATCGTTAAAATCAGACCGGCGGTCTTTATGTTATAAGAGTAGTAACTAACACAACTTTCTTTTACATATAGAGAGATAGATTTAAAAATAGGCGCGTTCCTTAGCCCCTAAATAAGTACTTAGGGTTGGATGGAAAGCCAACAGCATATAGTGTAATAATTCTCAAACCGATATCTTCATTATTTTGGCAAATATAGGGATTTTAGATAAATCGAAATAGTGCGCGTAAAAGTAATCGTGGTCAATATTTGTTTCTTTAAAAACCTAACTCGGGGTATGATGAATGTTTGTACAAAAAATTGTTCAAATCGGTCCACCCGTTCTCAACTGATTCCATTACCAACGAACAACAATTGATTTTGATATATATAGATTTCTGTGAAGTAAGTCTTACCTGCTATGATCGTCGTTGATTGTGTATAACAGCTTTAGAGAGATTGATTTTTGAAACAGGATCTCAATCTAAATCGTGTTCCACCAATATCATTCCTGTTGAGTGCATATTACTACTTCGAGGCGGCTTATGTATGAAATCGGATTAAATAACTTAATCGAGAAAAGGAGTTGGTAAAACAAACCACGGTGCAAGGTATCAAAACAAATCTGGCCAGATATCTCCTAGAGTAGAACTCTGTCTCTATTAAATGGGCTAAATCTAACGTTGAATACTGCAGGCTATATAAGGATGAGGAAGAGAATGAAACGAACGAACACTATTTATGTCACGGTCCTGCTCAAGGGAAAAACTAGGAGCTAGGGAGAAATATATGACTCAAATGGATACTATGTCCGCAGGACTTTTGTTGTTGAAATGGGTCATGGTTCCTCCCTATTTTCAGTATTTTGGTGATTTAAGCGACTTATTCACCGGTTATGTTTCAAATTTATTATTTGAAGTTCGTAATAGATACTACAACCTATGACCGAAAATTGTCTGCGAAGGTCCTCGTCTTTGTATAGCCCCCATATAATGGCACCTCCCGATATTTGGTACTTTGATGATTTTAGCGACATTATTCACCGGAATTTTTTCAAACTTAGTATTTAAAGTTCATATGACAGAAAATGGCAGAAAAAAGAAAAAAATGACAGAAAATTAAAATAATAGCCTATGACAGAAAATTGTCTGTTCAGGTCCACGTCTTCGTATAGCCCCCATATAACGGTACCTACCTATATTCTGTATTTTGATGATTCACCGAATTTTTTTTCAAGTTTCGCATTTGAATACTGTAATGGCTTATAAGAAAAGTTGCCTATGCAGGTCTACATCGTCGTATAGACTCTAATATAACGGCTACGTTCGGTATGTTTAAGAAAATAAAAGAATTTTTAACGGATTTTATTTTTTTGAAAATTGCCACATTCGTTCCAAATGGTGGAGGGTATTCAAAGTTCGGCCCGGCCGAACTTACAGCTTTTTTACTTGTTTTTTTTTTATATATATATTTAATACCTAAATTCGCACCAAATGTTGGAGGGTATTCAAAGCTCAGTCCGGCCTAACTTACTGTTTATACCCTACACCACAAGGTGGTCAGGGTATTATGTCTTTGTGCATTTGTTTGTAACAGGCAAAAAGAAACGAGATAGACCCTTTGTTCCTTTTGATGATCTGCATAGAATCACTTTCTGAGTCGATTTATGCATGTCAGTCCGTCTGTCCATGTATTCTTGTGAACAAAATGCAGGTCGCATTTATTATCCAATTGAGATGAAATTTTGCAAACAATATTTTTTTGGACCAAGGACGAACCCTATTGAAATTGGAGATAATCGGTAAAAATTTAGATATAGCTCCCATATATATCTTCGTCCGATTTGCCTTTCATTGTGCACCAAACGTGTAATATCAGTCCGAATAGTATGGAATTTTGCACATATAACCAAATTAGGCCGGAAAATAAGTATGCCAAATTTGATCGAAATCGGTTCAGATATAGCTATAGCTCCCATATATATTGTTCATCCGATTTGTTATTTTTGTCCTCCGCAGCCGTAATATGCACTCTGTAACAACAATATTTGGGGAAATATATCAAATATAGCTCAGAAATACATTTGCTAAATTTTATCGAGATCGGTTCAGATATTGATATAGCTCCCATATATACTATTCATCCGATTTGTCATATTTGTTACCCACAGCCGTAATATGCACTCCGTAACAACGATATTCAGGGAAATATATCAAATACAGCTCAGAAATATCTTTGCCAAATTTTATCGAGATCGTTGCCGATTTGGATATAGCTCCCATATATATTTTTATCTGATTTCAAATTAATTGCGCACCAAATGGGCCATACAAGTCCGAATTTAAAAGATACAAAAGCTTAGGCATATTTAGTCCTTTGTACTTTAAATTTTAATTATAATCATAGCGTGTATGATTTAATTCTCTCATAAAAACGTTTAATTGTTATGCGGAGCTCTACTAAATTGGCAAAGTGGTGTAGGGTATCATAAAGTCGGCCCCGATGACCATCCAAAGTAGTAGGATTCGGCCCAGCTCCAAACTCTATCTCTATGCAAAATTCCGGTTCATTTCAAACCCTAAGAATAATGCTATCTTCTCTAAAAGCAGGAGGCTTCTATTCTGACCCTTGTGTTGAGTTATAAGCGTAAATAACATCACTTTTTAACTTGTATTGATTGAGAAGAGTTTGTCAATATACGCCCATTAGAATTTAAATTATATACCATACAATAACACCCAATTATTGTTGGTATATTATTGCTTATTAATATAACATTCGTATGTATCCCATCATCCCAATGGTGAGCAACCTTCCAGCTATTTGCATATACCTATTTCCGAACTGTTTATTTTATTTTTCAACCAACCTATCATGCTGTGTTTCCCTCCACCAGAAATTTTAAATAAAATTCTTAATATTTTCTATGTATTGCACTCAACTAACTTCCGTAGTCACGAATTTCAACAATGGAAATCAATGGTGGGAGAAGTTCCCTAATGAACATTCGCAACTAACTAACTGGTGCGTGGAGTGTACTCGCATGAACCGCAACTTTCGAACAAACGAGCATCAATCATACGCCCCAAGTGGTATTGCAATTGCCTTTAACGTTGCAACATTTTCAATGCGGTGTGATGGTGGAAAGGAACTGTTCTGCCAACCATTTCCAGAATTGTCTTAAATTATTTGAAGAGTAAAAGTTTGTAAGAGTAAT